GATTTGTCTGCAAATCAACAATCCTTTTTTTTTTTTTTTTTTTTTTTTTTGTTACTACGGATTGAATGTAGGGGTGTTTTACCACTAAGCTATATTCCCAGTCTCACAGTCACTGGGATTTCAGGCAAGAACCACTGTGCCTAAAAAGCAATTAATCTTGTAAAATTCAGATTATTTATTAGTATTTTTGAGGGGAGGATAGTCTGCATTACTAACAGTCTCCTTGTGTTGTCAAGTTTGCTGTGAATCACACTTGGTATTTCAAGGATTCCTTTAATTCTAAAAGAATTTTGAATTAAAATGGTAGACATCTACATGTTAACCTAGATCCATGGCATTTCACAGCCCCTCAGTTTTACTATACAGAAGGCAATTGGTTTAAATGAAGTTAGTTCTTTCCATACATCAAAGGATGGGGTAGATAAACACAGGGACAGTTCAGAGGCCATCCATGATGAGCTCCCAAAATTGATTCTTTTTAATGTTTTCCTGAATCCAACCCTCAAATAAAAATAAAAGGGAAATCTCTTCCTTTTTGACTGTTTTCCATAGTTGCCAGCTTGAAGGAAAATTGGCTAATCTCACCCATGATCTCCTTTCCTGCTTCCTGACTTCCTTGGTTGATACCCAAGCACAGACTCTGACTTATGTCACTATTCCCATACAGTTTCATGATTTGCCTCATATCCAGATGGATCTGAGAGGATAAAACAGGTCAGAGAAGTCTCTCCGTTCCTGCTTTCTCACCATTTCATCTTCTCTTTAGATCTCAATACATGATGTCAAGTTCATAATCATTGAAATTCCTTGAAGATGTGTTTTCCTGTGTTGCCTTGACACATGTTATATATTGCCTTATGTCTCCTCCTTATGTTTTGCTACCTTTAATAAAGGGCCTCTTTAAATGGGACAGTTTCCCTGTTCTGCAGGGAAAGTCACACTAGGGTTGTAATGGCATTAACATTTTTTAAAAGAACTGTGATTTTATAAATAAGAATCAGCTGGACATGAAGGCACACACCTGTAATTCCAGGGATTTGGGGGCTGAGGCAGGAGGATCACAAGTTCAAGACCAGGCTCAGCAATTTAGCAAAGYCCTAAGCAACTTAACAAGAYCCTGTCTCAAAATTAAAAGGGGTGGGAATGTGTCTCAGTGGTTAAATACCCCTGGATTTAATCCCTGGTATGTATGAATAAATAATTAAATAAGAAAGAATGAATCAGAGCCACTTGATGAATGATGAATGGAAAAGATTTGCTGTAAAAAATAGAGTGAAGTATATAAAAATAAATTTTCCTTTTATGGTTCTTTTGCATTGGATTGCTTTGTAAATACTTGATGATGGAATATTTATTTCTAAAGCTTATTATTAARATTCAAGGATGTCTGTGAAAGCAATTAGTTTACCTCTGTTTTCTCTGATCTTCCATTCATAGTTTACTGACTACCTTTGCCTTTAGAATGGGAGTCTAATTAAGAAAAACTTTAATATAATCTGGATGAAGTGGAGCTGTTATCTTACAGAAATATTTCCCTTTTTCTTTTTAGGTTGGCGATGCAAACGGTATGGTCACCGAACGGGTGACAAAGAATGCCCTTTTTTTATCAAAGGCAACCAGAAGTTAGAACAGTTCAGAGTAGTAAGTAAAACCCCAGTATCAATTCACATTTATCACACTATCAATGAGCCAGGTAGTCACCAGTGAAATGAATATTCATATAAAATAATTCCCCAGAAACATTTTTTCCAGAGCATTTCATATTAAGTTCTGTGTTAAATTGCATTTGTGTGACAGATTAGTTCTTTTTTGAGAGGGTGGGTGCAGGAGATCAAACCCAGGGCCTGGTGCATAGTAGGCATTTGCCTCACCACTGTGCTCTACCCCTAGCCCCAGATTCAGTTCTTAAACAAACAAAAAACAACAAACAACTATTTTAAAATGTTGTTTGCTGCCAAGTTTGATAATGCACACCTGTAATCCCAGTGACTCAGGAGACTGAGGCAGGAGGATCAGAAGTTCAAAGTCAACCTCAGCAATTTAGCAAGACCCTGTCTCAAAATAAAACATAAAAAAACGGCTGAGGATGTGGCTCAGTGGTTACATGCCACTGGGTCCACTCCCTGCTGTGCCCCACCCTCCAAAAATAAGCAAATAACACCTAATTCTTTTTCCTTTTTTTTTTTTTTTTTTTTTTGGTACAGGGGATTGAACCTAGGGCACTTAACCACTGAGCCACATCTCCAGCCCTTTTTATTTTGAGACAGGGTTTCACTAAGTTGCTGAGGCTGGCTTTGAACTTGTGATGCTCCTTCCTCAAATTCTCGAGTCACTGAAATTACAGGGGTGCGCCACCATAATTCTTTTTCTTAAGTAGTCATTATCTATTCAAACCCCCCATTTTTAGTTATATAAAAGGTAAGTTTTAGGGCTGGGAATATAGCTCAGTTGTAGAGTGCTTGCCTTGCATGCAGAAGGTCCTGGGTTCAATCCCAGCACCACAAAAAAAAAAAAATCGAATTTTAGCCAGATGTAGTGGTATAACCCTGTTATTCCAGTGAATCTGGAGGTTGAGGCAGGAGGATTGTATGTTTGAGGCCAATCTCAGCAACTCAGTGAGATCCTATCTCTAAACAAAAAATACCAAGGGCTGGGAATATATAGCTCAGTGGTAGAACACCCCTGGGTTCAATTCCTCTTACCATTAAAAAAAAAAAAAAAAATGTAAAAACGAGTTTTTGTTTAAAGATATCTTTTAATTAAGCTAGAAGTGTGTGTATATTTCCTCACTAGATCTATTATTTCCTTGCTTTATTTTAACAGAATCACCTTCTAGAGGTGATAACTCATTGTTCAGTAACTGCTTCTGCCAAGTGGTGAATGTACTGGGGTTGTCAGCATATATCAAAATGGGGTCAACAGATGTGGTTCAGCAGTAGAGACTTCACCTCGAATGGATGGGGCCCTGGGTTCGATCCTCAGCACCATATAAAAATAAATAAACGAAACAGGGATGTTGTGTTCAACTACAACTAAAAAATAAATATATATATTTTTTTGAAAAGTGCGGAGGATGTAGCTCAGAGATTTGATCTCTAGTACCCGCCCCCCAAAGAAGGTGAAAAAATAAAGTATATTTAAGTACTTGAAGCTGATTTAAATTATCTATATAAGAATATATTTGCCTTAAAAGAATATATTGCCTTTAAAGAAAATAGGAACCTTACAGTAGAATTTTTACCAGCAGATCCAATCTAGTCTCTTTCCAAAGGAGGTCTGCAGCAAGTAGTTTGACGCATGTATTTTCAGACTCAGTTGGTGATATGTAACATGCATTTTTATGTTACTTATGTATGTATGTACTTATTTATTTTGCTGCATGGGATATTGAACACAGGGCCTCATGACTCTTAGGCAAGCACTCTACCAGTCCTTTTTTTTTTTTTTTTTTTCATTTTATTTTGATACAGGGTGTAGCTAAGTTGCCTAGGCTGGCCTCCCACATGACATCCTCCTTCCTTAGCCTCCTAAAATGTTGAGATTACAGGCATGTGCCAGTATGCCCAGCATTTTTAACTTACAAATTACATTTTTTTTTAAATAGTGCTAGAGATTGAATCTATGGCCTTGTGCATGCAAGGCAAACACTCTACCAACTGAGCTGTATCCCCAGCCTCTAAATTACACATTTTTAACATTATTATTACAATCATTTTGTAACTCATTTATTTCACCTAATATTATCTCTTAGTCAACTATCCATGTAGACTGAAGAGAATCACCTCAATATTTCTCAATTTGAGTGCTGTTTTATTATACCTCAATATTTCTCAATTTGAGTACTGTTTTATCATACAAAGACCATGCCACTGTTTATGGAGTTATTTCCTGATGGATAATATGGATAATATTTAGTTATTTCCTGTATTTTTCTAACAGAGAAATTCTTCTTGTAGCCTTAATGAATTTACAATGATCTGACTGTTTTTTGTTTTTTGTTTTTGTACTGGGGATTGAACCCAGGAATGCTTTATGACTGAGCTACATCCCTAGTCTTCTCTACTTTTTATTTAGAGATATGTTCTTGCTAAGTTCCTGAGGCTGACCTTGAACTGGTAATCTTCCTGAGTCTCTGGGATTACAGGCCTGTGCTACTGCACCTGGTGTGATGATTCTTAAAAAGGATTAGTACAGCTGAGCACAGTGACACACACCTGTAATCCCAGCAGCTCAGGAGGCTGAAACAGTAGGAGCTCGAGTTCAAAGCCAGTCTCAGCAACTTAGCGAGTCCCTAAACAACTCAGTTAGACCCTGTCTCAAAACAAAATACAGAAAAAGGGCTGGGACACAGCTCAGTGGTTAAGTGCCCCTGGGTTCAATTCCCAGTACCAAAACAAAAAAAGACTAGAACAGCCTCAGTCTTGAGTAGCTGGGAAAATAAGTGCATGACACTACTTTTAGCTTCACATACAAACCAAGACATATTATAAAGGTGATGTCTTGGTAGATGGGGTATGAGTCTTAGTAAGAGGCTTTTTACTATATAATCTATTGTGTTTTCTGGTTTTTGAATCATGTGAGTATACAACATATTCAAAAACTAAATTTAAAAGTAAATACTGTGTTCTAGTAAAAAAAATGGATTAGAACATGTTAAACAAAGCTATATCAAACAATTTTTTTAAATTGGTTTCAATTACATAATTAAAAAATTAACAAAATATTTWWWAAAAWTTTTTTAATTGTATATGGACACAATACCTTTATTTATTTTTATCTGGTGCTGAGGATGGAACCCAGTGCTTCACACATGTGAGGCGAGGGCTCTACTACTGAACCACAACCCCAGCCTGGGACTTAATTTTTATTTAACTAATAGTCCACAAAGCCTAACCAGACTTTAATCTTCTCTGACCCTTAAGGCACATGAAGATCCCATGTATGACATCATTCGAGAGAATAAAAGACATGAAAAGGATGTGAGGTGAGGTCATCCTGATGAAAATAACAACCTATTAAGTCTTAAATTGATTAGCATTGGAAACAGCCATTCTGATATCAGGGGGATGGTATTTTAACTGAGTGACTGGAGGGCAGATGTTTTAATCAGCTTTTTCCTGCTGTGATTATAGGATCTGACCAGCACAATTCTAGAGGAGAAAAGGTTTATTAGAAGGCTTTCAGTTTCAGAGGTTTAGTCCATAGAAGGCTGGCTCAGTTCCTCGGGACTTGAAGAAGGCTGAACATCATGACAGAAGAGTGTGGCTGAGGGAAACAGCTTACATGAGATCAGGAAGCAGAGAGAGAGAGAGAGAGAGACTCTACTTGCCAGATACAAATATATACCCCCAAACCAGGCCCCAGTTCCCATCTCCTCTAGCCACACTCTACCAGTTAACTGAATTACTTCAGTTAATTCCTATCGGGATTAATTCACTGATTGGGTTAAAACTCTTAAAACCCTATCATTTTTCTCCTCTAAGCCTTCTTGCATTGTCTCATACGTTAGCTTTTCTCCCATCCAAACTATAACTGCAGGAGTCACTGCTGAAAAGGCCAGTGTAGAGGAAACCAGCAGGCAAGCCTCCTCTTGGCCCAGTACAGTCACACAACTGGAGGTGATGTTGACAATCCACACTGTGGTGTCTACACATAGTGTGCAATTGACCATTCCATGTCATTTAGTTTGTCTTCAATGTCATTGAGGATCTGAGGTGTTAAAATGTATTCTTAGCCACGATTAAAGAGAGTGTTAAAAAAAAAAAAAGAGGGTTTGTTTTCAAATTAGTTGCATTGAATTAGTGCTCTAGGAGTTGATTACTATGAAATTTGGGGAAAGGTTAAGTGTGCATCAGTTAGAAGTTAAAATTTTAAGGACTATTGGAACCTGTAGAAATATTTAAGACAATGGAAAGATAAATATTATTTTTTAGTGAATTAATCATGATTCTTCCCCTCTTGATACTGCTTTTAAATTATGCTTACCTAAGAGAYGGGGATGTTGCTCAGTGGTAGAGCATTTGTCTAGCATGTGTAAGACACTGGGTTCAACCCCCAGCACTCAAAATAAAATTTATGTATATATAAGAAACCTATTGAAGTTAAAAATCACATTTCTTTGATCAATCTTTTATGTCTAGGATTCAGCAACTAAAACAGTTACTGGAGGATTCCACCTCAGATGAGGATGGGAGCAGTTCCAGTTCTTCAGAATGTAAAGAAAAGCATAAGAAAAAGAAGAAGAAAGAAAAGCATAAGAAAAGGAAGAAGGAAAAGAAAAAGAAGAAAAAACGGAAGCATAAGTCTTCTAAGTCAAGTGAGAGTTCAGACTCGGACTGACAAGAATTAGATTCTCTACAAAAATCAAACACTGTGGCCAAAGAACAGAGGGAGATGTGACCCAGGAGTAACAAGTGACAGAGGACATCTGGCTTCACAGCTGTGGATTCTTACCACCTTGCCATGGTGAGCTGTCTCCACTCAGGTGCTAGGTCTGGACTGCGCTGAATTCCTCCAGGAAGGCTTATTCATTGATCCCTCCCTGCTCTTTGCTTGAGTCTATGAGTCCCTTGAAAGGCCTCCTGCAGCCTGGCAGGATAGTGGGGTATCTCTGGGGAGGTGCTTTTGGGTGTTAGCACAGCTTTTGCCCTTTGTGAGTGACTCATTTCCCACAGGCTTTAGGCTGGACTCTTCTATGTTGTTGAGTATAATAAAAGCTTATGATTTATTTTAAAAATGTAGTTATTTATGAATAATATCAGCATGTGGTCCAAATTAAAAGAAAATTCTTCTTAATCCTTTCTATCCCAGTTCCTTCCCCATTGGCTACCAATCTTACTAATTTGGTATTGACATCTTTCAGAAGTATATATCACAAATATGACTTTTTTATTACATAAATACACCTGTGTACTGTTACTTTTTAAACTTAATAGTATGAAAGTAACTATCTTTTTTTTTACACCTTTATTTCATTTATTTTTTTATGTGGTGCTGAGGATCGAACCTAGGGCCTCGCATGTGCTAGTYGAGCACTCTACCACTGAGCCACAACCCCTCTCCCTGAAAGTGATTATCTTAATACTGAGCAAATATGGCCTTGCTGCTATATRAAATGTAATGCTTATAGTCATCTGACATGATCTGTTGATTTGAGGGGAGTGGTTCGTGTAACAACAATGAAAACTCTTGTGTTATTTTGTCGGGGCGGGGGCAGGGAGATACTGCGGTACTAGTGTACTCACAGATGCTCAACCACTGAGCTACCTCAGTCTTTTTAATTTTTTGAGATAGGGTCCCACTAAGTTCCTGAGGCTGTCCTYGAACTTGGGATCCTGTCTCAGCCTCCTGGGAGCTGGGATTATAGGTGTGTTCCATTGTCCTTGATTGACTTGTTTTTAACTTGTCTGGACCTTGTGCCACTGAGATTTTCAGGTTTTTGACTCAGAAAAGATTTAAGAATGTAGAGATGCCACATCCTGACATACACCCCTCACTTGCTTCCTCCTCCTATTGTCTGAGCAGCTGTGCTCTTGTAACTTAAACTGGTTAACAGCAGAGGTCAGGTGGCACCTGAAACTAAAAGAAAAATTCTGTTCTTCACTGAGTCAAAGTGCAGCCTGCTGAAAGACAAGTGTGTCAGTCTACATCAAGCACATACTGCTGCTTTCAGCCCTCAGCGGGGGTCCTAGAAACTCACACGTCCTTTTCCTGCCTCTTTTCCTAGGAACTGGATTATCCCCTCTGCAGAAAGCAGAGAGTCCAAGCCCAGAGCCTTGGAATACTTCCAGTCTTGGTCTTGGAATACTCCCTTAAATCACAAGAGTCCAGACTGGAATATTGAGGACCTGCTTGTTTGTTTACCTTGCTGGGAATTGAACCTAGGTCCTTGGGTGTGCTAGTCAAATACTCTGTCACTGAGCTACACTCCCAGCCTGTGGGATGTTATGTCTGAAAACTAGAAGGCTAACCGAGTCAACCATGCCTTCATCCTTCCTTAGCTCCTATTCAAAATCACCAGGTAAAAATCACACAGGACTGGACATGAAGTTCAGTAGTGGTATACTTAACTAATATGTATGGTATGATTGAACTCTGGGTTCAATCTCTAGCACCACACACACACACACAAAAAAAATACTACTACTAATAATAATATCAAACATATTATTACCTCTATCAGTTAATTACCTCCAACTCAACTGAAAACTGAGCCCATAAAGCAGACCAGCAAAATTTRCTAGTTGCCTATTCAAATCTTGCTGCTCACATCTTCAGGAACTGCATTTTCCATTCCTCTCCAGGAGGCATTATCAGCCCTCAGACCAACCTTAGCCACAATGACTTTGTCATCATTGTGGTATGCAGAATTTTAAGATGACCCCATGAGGGTTCCCCTTCATCTTCAGCAGTATTAAAAAATGGATTTCACTTTTACAATTAGGTTGTTACAGTTCAGGGAGAATGAGGTCAATTGAAACAGGGAGAATGAGGTCATTTGAAACAGGGAGAATGAGGTCATTTGAGTGTTCTTAATTAAACCAAAAGAGCCCTTTAAAACTCCAGAATTTTCTCTAGCTGGTAACCAAGAGAAGAGATTCCAAGCCTATGAAAGATGTCATGTGCCATCACTGGCTTTTAAAGATAAAGACAAAGGGCCACAAGATGAGACTGTTGCAGACCCTAATAGTAGGTCCTGAGCAAGGAAATGCCTTCAGCTGAAAGCAACAAGAACTGAATTCTGCTTCCTCAGTGACATGGATGCATATTGTTCCCCAGAGCCTCAGGTAAGAGCCCAATACCACTGGCATTTTGGGTTTGGTACACTGCAGAGCTAAGCAGAAAATGCAGCTGAGCCTGCCCCATCTGACATGGAGTTGCTGATAATAAATGATTGTGTGAAGCCTTTTTAGTAATTTTCCACAGAGCAATAGAAAACATTGCAAACTCTGCTTTGGGAAGGTAATGTCATTCATGATTATTTCTTGCTTGTCTACATCATTCTCTGACTACATTGAGCCCCATATCAGGACCAGGAGGCACGTGCCCTATTAGATCTTCTTTCTCAGTGCAGCTCAGATCACACTGTATTGCTTCATTGACTTGGGCATCAGCTATCTTAAGGAGGTGAGAAAGTGGAAAATGTAATGGCAGGGCAGGCATAAGGAATCTCATTTCCCCACAAAGACATTGAGCTTATCATGCACTTTGATGTCATCCTCCTAGTTACATAGCTCCATGTCTACATCAGGYTCCAAATCACAACCAGGAAGCTCAGGTCCTATTAGATGCAGTTCCTTGGTTCAGCTCATATCACATCGGATCCCTCCATCAGTTTTAATGTTAATCCTCTTGAAGATGTAAAGATCTGAATGATCAGATCTCAGAGAAGGGCCACAGTGATACGTCTCTCCTAGTATGGCAGTTCAAATATATCTTGTACTTCAACATCGGAGTCATGTTCATATGGCTCTTTGTTTTCATAAGCTTCCTTGTTTATTTCAGCCTCCTCATCTACTTCAGACTCCAGATCAGGATGAGCACTTGTGCTTTGAGATGTTGCTTCTCAGTCACCCTAACATCCAGTTGGATCACTGCATCAACTTTCTTGCACTTCTGGGTGGGTGGGGGAAAATGGTTCTCTTCACTGAGGTTCTTCTGGGCACTCACCTGCAAGCTCAGGTCTTCTGCCTCCATGCTGGACTAGAGTTACCTCTCCTGCTGGAGCTGGCTTACTGCTATAGGCTTACACCCTTTCCTCTTTACATTATTTGGCTTTACCCAACTGAAGCTCATCTCTGACTTTATTGGTAGTTGGCAGGATTTGGGGAGCAGTCCCACATCCATTCTTTTTTTAACCTAAGGTCATCTCCACACCAGTACCTGACTTCTTCAACTTCCTCTTCTTCAGTTCCCAAGAGCTGTTCCCATAGCCTCACACTTCTTTGCTCATCTGTATTTGTGATGTCCCCACCCTCAGAAAGGTGGCAGAACACACCCTGACTCTCATAAGAATGCTGGGAAATGACATTGGACTGGGCCACTTTCTCTGGTGTACTTTCATCATAGGCCAGGCAGGTCATACAAACAGATGCTTTCTTTAAAAGCCCTTCAGAATGTGACTGTGGGAGATCCACTGTCCCTTTCTATGAGTCTTTCTTTTTCTTGAGGCAGCAGAGCTTCTGAGAGGTGTGTTTGCATTCAGAGTGTTATCAGAAGGTCTCACACCATGTAGCTACCTCTCTGGAGCCACAGATGATAAAGCGCCATTGCTTTTTTTTTTTTTTTTTTTAAGAGAGAGAGAGAATTTTTTTAATATTTATTTTTTTTAGTTCTCAGTGGACACATCTTTGTTTGTATGTGGTGCTGAGGATCGAACCCGGGCCGCACACATGCCAGGCGAGCATGCTACCACTTGAGCCACATCCCCAGCCCAGCACCATTGCTTTTTCCAAGAATGTTTTTAGTGTCTGTGTCAACAGCAGAAGGGATACTGGTCAAATTGCCTTTGTCATGGCTGATGGCTTGTATATGGGTGTATTGATTGGTGCACGTATTTCTAGCCTGCTCAGGACCAGTTTGAGTCTCTTTGTTTGCTTTCTTTCTTTTAGATACCAGGGATTGAACTCAGGAGCACTCGACCACTGAGCCACATCTCCAGACTTATTTTTTATTTTATTTAGAGACAGGATCTCACTGAGTTGCTTAGTGCCTTGCTGTCGCTGAGGCTGGCTTTGAACTCCCAATCCTCTGGTCTCAGCCTACTTACCACTGGGATAACAGGTGTGCACCACTGCCCCCAGTGTTCCTGTTTGCTTTCTTTTTCCAAATCCATTATAAAGCCAAAATTGTGTTGTATGATAAAACTTAGGGAATATAGGCCTCAGGTTAAATGTAGACAATAGAGATTGTGGCACTAGAATGGCAGCTCCAATAAATATGGAAAATACAAACTTCTATTTCTTTTTTTAAAATTTATTTTTCAGTTGTAGTTGGATATAATACCTTTATTTTATTTGTTTATTTTTATGTGGTGCTGAGGATTGAACCCAGGGCCTCGAATGTGCTAGGCTACTGCTCTATCACCAAGCCATAGTTAGAATATGTTACTTCTTTTATAACTCTTGTAGCCAGTACCAATATTCACCCAGAAAGCACCAGAATGAGCATCTACTGGTAAAACAGAATTACTTCCAGGTCATTGTTAACTACTGCTTACCACTTCTTTCCTAGATTTTCCTAAGATTCAACGAAGAATGGGCAGTGACTCCCACCCACACACAACTGAGTTAGTCTCTTTTTATTCTTTTGATAATCTCTTCCAGAGTGAACTATTTCTGTTGTAGGTGATGAAATGTACAATGTTCCATACTTAAAATGTTGGCAYTGCTTTTTTCCCTTTACTATAAGTTAGAATTAAAACTTGTTTTTTATATTCTTGTTTTTTATATTCCAGTTGCAGAAGTAGTTCTCACTGCAGGAATTATCTGAAGACAGTCAGCTTTCTAATGGTGGCCTACAATCAGGCTCTAACTTTCTCCAGGAACACTACAGGTTGGATTTAGTTTAAACATGTATTAAACTAAGAGAACTTCTCTCAAATGAGTTTAAATGCACTTTAGTTTTAGGCAAACCTACATGACATTCTTAAAAAAACAATGCCTCCACTCCAAATAAATCCCCGTCAAAATAAATGTGCCCAAGATGATTTCTTAAGTCTTGGTGTTGTGTGGATGACAAGCAGCAGTAAGTTATGATGACAGATGATAGATCCAAAGCAACTGCCAAATTTGTTAACCTTTTTCCATTTCTTTTCTTTCTTTTTTTTTTTTTAATTTTTTAGTTGTAAACGGACAGAATACTTTTATTTATTTTTATGTAGTGTGGAGGATTGAACCCAGTGCCTCACAGATGCTAGGCAAGTGATCTACCACTGAGCCACAATCACAGCCCCACATTTTTCCATTTCTAAACCATCCTTAAAGAAAATCATATATGGGGTCACACCATCCTCACGGTAGTCCAGGAGAGAGACCAGGTCATCTGGATTCATGTTTTCACCAAAGAAGAATTGGTAATTTTTGAAATTAGTTTTTGAAATAAATGTACTCGATTTGTTCTGCAGCCCCTATCATAAAAAGTTTTACTCTCTCTGGTCTCTGTTCTTCAAGTTTATCTTTGATTGACTTCATGTAATCTTTGATGTACTTCTTGTATGCTTCTTTTGTGAAGCTGGTTTCCTGCAAGTGGTGGTTCATGACAATATCAACACCAGTGATTACTGCACTTTTGGTACCCTTGGGTCCTTCAGAAGAGGCCAAATAAGCAAGTCATCAATGTTACCCTTTCTTTTACTGACCATCTTGCCCTCCATCTCCAGGCAGAGCCTGTCTGAGATCTCCCAGATCTTGTAAATATTGGAGAGTATCTTGTCAGGACAGATGAGGTCCCAGAGCAGCACTGAGGGGGAGGAGGGAATGGGCAGAAAAGGCCAACCCAGCCACACCCCAACCTCATATTTGGACAATGACTTGATCAGTGGAGCCTGTAGACCCCTTTTTAACCTCTACATCTAATATCTTTTCACAAGTTAGTTTGCATTTAACTATTGCCCATTGAACTACACACCGGCCCCATGTTCAGCTGTTTTTACAAGGGAAGAAGCCAAGGTAAATAAATGTTAAAATTTTATTCAAAATTAGATTAGTAAGAATGCACGCAAGGGCCTGGCACAGTGGCACATGCCTATAATCCCAGCGGCTCAAGAGGCTAAGGCAAAAGGATCGAAAGTTCGAAGCCAGCCTCAGCAAAAGCAAGGTGCTAAGCAACTCAGTAAGTCCTTATCTCTAAATAAAATCCAAAATAGGGCTGGGGATGTGGTTCAGTGGCCAAATGCCCCTGAATTCAATCCCTGGTACCTCCCCCCCCCAAAAAAAAGAATGCATTCAGGGCTGGGATTACAGCTCAATGGTTGAACAGTTAGTTGTCTAGAATGTGTGAGGCACTGAATTCAATCCTCAGTACCACATAAAATTAAATAAAATACAGGTATAGTGTCCATCTACAACTAAATATATATACATGGACCTTTATTTTATTTATTTATTTATTTATTTATTTATTTATTTATTCAGATGTGGTGCTGAGAATTAAACTCAAGGCCTCACTTATGCTAGGCAAGCTCTACCACTGAGCTACAACTCCAGCCCTAAAAATATATTTAAAAAATAATAATGCATTCATAGTTGGGTGTGGTAATGCATACCTATAATCCCAGGTGCACAGGAGGCTGAAGCAGGAGGATCACGAATTTGAGGACAGCCTAGGTAAGTTAACAAGATCCTGTCTTAAGGGGCTGGGGATGTGGCTCAAGCGGTAGCACGCTCATCTTACATGCATGTGGCCCGGGTTCGATCCTCAGTACCACATACAAACAAAGATGTTGTGTCTGCCAATAACTAAAAAATAAATATTAAAAATTCTCTCTCTCTCTCTCTCTCCCCCTCTATCACTCTCTCTAAAGAATAAATAAATAAATAAATAGATATTTTTTTTAAAAAAAAAGATCCTGTCTTAAAATAAAAAGTCTGAGGATATAGTTCAGTGGTAGAGTGTCCTGGGTTCAATCCCCAGTCAAACAAACAAACAAAAAAAGACATTCATAATAATAGCCCTCACATTTTAATTATATAGCACAGAGTTGATTTTTGTTCTAATAAGTAAAAATTGCTCCTATCTCAAAAAGTAAAAGAGGATATCTGGGCACAGCAGTGCATGCCTGTCATCC